GACAGACAGACAGACAGACAGACAGACAGACAGACAGACAGACAGACAGACAGACAGACAGACAGACAGACAGACAGACAGACAGACAGACAGACAGACAGACAGACAGACAGACAGACAGACAGACAGACAGACAGACAGACAGACAGACAGACAGACAGACAGACAGACAGACAGACAGACAGACAGACAGACAGACAGACAGACAGACAGACAGACAGACAGACAGACAGACAGACAGACAGACAGACAGACAGACAGACAGACAGACAGACAGACAGACAGACAGACAGACAGACAGACAGACAGACAGACAGACAGACAGACAGACAGACAGACAGACAGACAGACAGACAGACAGACAGACAGACAGACAGACAGACAGACAGACAGACAGACAGACAGACAGACAGACAGACAGACAGACAGACAGACAGACACAGACAGACACAGACACACAGACACACAGACACACAGACACACAGACACACAGACACACAGACACACAGACACAGACACACAGACACACAGACACACAGACACACAGACACACAGACACACAGACACACAGACACACAGACACACAGACACACAGACACACAGACACACAGACACACACACACACACACACACACACACACACACACACACACACACACACACACACACACACACACACACACACACACACACACACACACACACACACACACACACACACACATTTGTCGCAACGACACTTACCCGCAGGGTTGAGGAGGGATGCTTCGAGCGCCAATCATTTGTTCATGCTTTGAGGGTAGAAAGGGCCGTGTCCCGCGCATGTAGACCCGGATCAATACACGCAAGCGAATTCATCAGGGTCTGCAGCGGTCCAGCAAAAGTGACGTTGAACTACTGTTCATCAAGCAGCTGCTTAATCTTTGCTGCAACTATAGCCGCATGCGCGCAAACCCGCGCAGTTGCATTTCTGTAGATGTTCTGAACACGATTATAAAGTACCCGACAATGACAATGAGTGTCGTCCCAACCCTTGCTTGGTACAAAGCAAACTAACACAATCCAACCCCGCTCTTTGGGTACAGACTTTCTAGTCAGAAGGCTATCCTTAGCTTCCCCCTTTGGCCACGTACTTAGCGAGGCAAACTCGCAATCGCAAATCACTGCGTTTTCAAATCGCTGTGGGTTCAAAGCAGGGAATCGCAAACGCAGCGATTTCAAATCGCTAGCTTTGAATCGCTGCTTAAGGGACGCAGAAAGCATTGGTTTTGACATTGCCTTGCTTTCTCTGCACGGGAAAGGGCCAAAAGTGATATCTGAAGCCACAAGCTTTTGCGTCTGAAGGATCTTCCTGGATTCCCAGTCGCCTTACCCTGATGAAAATCGTTTTCTGCTTCGACACCCCACCATATCCAACCAAGCTTAGCACATATCCCCTGAAACTAACTACTATTCCCCAAATCGCTGCGATTCACCTTGGGCTCGCAGAAATCGCAAATCGCAATCGCACAAATCGCCGCGTTCCCGCCGCGCTAAGGCCACGTATCACCCAGCATAATGTATATGAAATAAAGGGGCTACTCCCTCAAAGTACTCCTTCCGGCTTAAGCGGTCTGGTGAAACCTTTCACTCAGATTTGGTTTGGATGTTGGGGTTGGTGGTTGCCCATGCAAACCCTCTACAAAGCCGCGGTTCAACTCCAATCCAAACCAACCCAAACCACCAACTAGGTCACACCTGACACGCCCAAGCAGTCATGACATCAGCCCCTGATCCGATCAAGGGCCTGTTAAAACTCGGAGGCAGGAAGCTCATATAAAACTGAGTGAAGGCTCATATGTGTGCGTACATGCTCTATATATATATATGATATGTATGTTAGCCAGCCCAAACACGCCAACCAGTGTCGGTTTATGCACATTACACTAAAGCCGACGATCTGCCTGTCTTCCTTTTAAACTGGTTTGACGAGTAGCTATCTGTATTGTCGGCACATATTGCTTCCTATGAGGGTGCGGCTTTAACTTTATATCTGTTGTAGAGCATACTTTCCGTACCTCTGAGCCGAGAGATTCATCTTTGTAGGTAGTTGTTTGCTTGACTGGTTATTTGGCTTGTTTGTTATTCATTTGCTCAGTTAAGTTAAGTTAGCCAAAGTCGCTTTATAGAGCAATCATCTTAAAACTTATTTTCCCATGACACCCGCCTACATGTTTCAAGTAGACACACCAAATACCATGGCAAATGCGGGCATGTCCCGTTACCTAATATCAGGGCGGGCTACCATAAATTCCAGTATTTTCGAGTTGCCGGAGATTCGGGTCTTCAATCATGAGGGTGACATCTCCGCAATCCATATACACCATCCCCTACCTTGGTCTTCCAAGGGACCGCAAAAACAGGGTCCTTCTTGATTTTGCTCTTGGTTGGAAAAGGAAAATTAGCCAAAGGCAACTGCTTTTTCAGGGTCCTGGAAGATCAAGGCTACAATTTACTTGGGGATCCGCTTCCTCCGCTTCCTTCCCCAACACCCTCACTCGTTGTCATTCCCTATGGCACCAGCAAGGCAAGGCCCAGTGCGCTTGCGGCCAAAGCAGCCATGCGGGCGCACGCGGATGTCGATGGCATTCGCGACCACCTCGGGGGCAAGCCCGAAGCTGTGGCAAACCCAAGCTCAAAGGGTGAATGCGCGTATATATTTATATATAAATATGTAAATCTATAAATATATATAAGGCTTCGCAAGTCCCCCCCCCCCCACCCCTCCCCCCATAGTTCCCAGTCCTCCCCCCCTGTGGTTTGGTTGGGGTGTGGTTTAGGGTTGGCTAAGACCACCCCTCCCCTCTTCTGTTAGGGTTGATCTAGTTGTAGTGGTTTAGGGTGGTTTAGGGTTGATTTGGAGTGTGTTCAGCGTTGGTTTAGAATATGTGTCTTAAGGTTGGTTTATGGTTGGTTTAGAGAGTATTTGGTGTTGGTTTAGGATGTGTGTGTTTTTGTCCGAAAGGTGCACGGGTGGTTTAGGTGAGTTCCGGGGTGGTTTAGAGTGTGTTTAGTGTTGGTTTAAGATATGTGCGCCCCGGGCTCCGGTTTAGTCCGCAGTCCCCCCAACCCAATGACATCCCCCCCCTCTCAGAACCCGACCCCCCAGGGAGAAGCCCTGCTGCCTTTTGTCCCCAGACCCCGACCCCTGAACCAACCCTGAACCCACACATCTTAGACCAACACTCGACACGTTCTGAACACCCTCTAAACCAAGCCTGAACCAACTTAATCAACCCTAAACCAACCGTAAACCAACCTTAGATTAACCAAGCCCCTAAGCACTTAATACATCCCACCCAAGGGGGTTTCACGATGCTAGTTTCGTGCTGCATCTCTTTTCTCCTTCGCGGCTTCCGACAAAATGACAAGATCAGGCATCAGGAAGACCGGATGTTCAAGTGCCAGGCTAGTGGTTTAAATGGCATGGAATGAGCCAAGCAATCCTCTTGTTGTTGTTTAGAGAGCATGGTCATATACACTTGTGTAGCAACCAATCTCCAGCGTTTCGCTTTCGAAATGATGCGCCTCAGCCGCCTAAGAGACACTGTGCGGTGGGGAGAAAAAAACACATACCGCACGGAACGCCAAACGCGGTTCCACTTGGAAGAGTTCCACGCGAATTGTTCATCGCAAACATCGGCGGGAAGATGCTAGAAGGCTGCCTGCCCGTTTGCTCAAGTCCCCTGCAAAGCTTCCAGTGATAGATTCCCTTTGAACCCAGGGGGAAATAGAACATTGGGCAGAAGCAAGTCTTCTGAAGGAATCATCACGAATCTGCATCCCGTGCACCCATTCGCTTTGGGCAAGCCGAAGAGAACAAGTGACGTGGAGCACGACTCGCTGGCCCTGGCACAACCTCTTTAAAGCTTGCGCTGGGGACTCTCGATGCGCGAGAGACTGGCAGCTCGTGATGCCCAACCTTTGATCCCATGGAGTAGATGCTCCGAATTGTTCCTACTGTGGATGGATGAAGTCCATTTCGCACCACCTAAGAAGCCCAGGAATGATGATTCCCCTGTAAATACCAACAAACAATGGTTTCCCATGGTTTCAAACTGGTGCAGGATTGCGTCCATCCACAGTATGTTCAGATGTGTGTCATACTTCGTCTACCCAACATGTGTCTTTTAAGGGTTGGACTCCCCAATATGTGGTTGTCCTGACGCCTGCTTCACAAGCCTACAGTCAACATGGCAAAGCGTCCGTGGTTTGGTGTTTCTGGCGCTTTGAAGGTTTAGGCTGTCCAAGGGGAACCAACCAAAAAATGGTGCACCGGTTGTCCTTTTGGTTTCCCTGTAGCACAACCCAAGAGACTTGGTTGGCGTTGGAAGGGGAGCAAAACAGTACATCTTCGCAGTGAAGCGGGGATTCCCACTGAACCACAATAAGCAAAAATGTAAAATGCTTCCCAACAACAACCATGAAGAGATCCCCTCAAAACCACATTTCAAGGGGTGTCTTCCCATTTTTTGAATCACGGCAGGGTCCAACAAGGTGCGCACCGCGCTTGCAACCGGGTGTCATCTGGCGAAAGCTGGTCAAGCCAGGAGCAAAACAACAAAGCTGGCAACAAAACATAGAAACTACGAATTGAACCTAGGCCGGTGGCTCGTTTTACTGTTCCCAGAACTCCCTAGAACTCCCTTTGGGCGGCTGTCACGTGAGGTTTACCAGCCCCGGGCGCATCGAGCAAATGGTGTTGGCCAGGTGAAATCTCACGGTGAACTCTGCAAACCAGGCCCACCGCTGCTGGCCGAATGCACCCAAAGGCGCACTTGATTTGGTAGGGGCTACCAACTCTGCGCACAAGGTTTCTCCTTGCGCTGTGTAAGACATATGGGTGTCTTTTGTGAGGGTTCCCTTTTGGGTTGTTGTTCTCGAGGAAAACAAAAAGGAAACCACTCATGTATTCGTTCCCCGTTGCGACAAATCCACTAGGAAAGACGAGCGCCGTGCATCTAAAGGTAAACACCCACCTGGTGTTCGTCCCATTCATCTCTCTCTTCATCTTTCGCCGCATTCATCTCTTCCAGTTCCACCTCCAAGATGCCATCTGGGACCACCTCAGATCTAAAATGTAGTGCCTTGCTTCTGTGGGCAACTTGGTGCGGCTGTGTTTGTCAAGTGGAAAATCAGTTTTGGCCCAGGGTTGTGGTGGTTGTGACTTTCAGCTTCCCGAATTGGTGGTTTGATCGGTGGTTTTGAGGTCCATCTATCCATCCCTCCTTCCTTCCTTCCTTCCTTCCTTCCCTCCCACCCACCCACCCATCCATGCATCCATCCATCCATTCATCCATCCATCCGGCCATCTATCCATCCACCTTCCGATTTTGCCTCTGCGTCTAATCCCAACCACCAATTCAATGCACACCAACTAGGGGTTACCTGAAACTTACTCAGACCATGTCCCCCAAACAGTGGAGTTCCATGAGACAAAAAGGGGGCACTCTGCTTTTGGTTGTTGCTTTTTAAAGGTAGCCCACCCCCCCCCCAAAAAAAAAGGCGACTGTTGGTAGCTGATTTTGAAAGGGAATCCACCACCGAGAAAAAAAAGATACTGTTTTTGGTAGTTAATTCTAAAGGCCCCCCCAAAGAAAAGAGGTCTGTTTTTGGTAGTTGAGTTTGAAGGAAACCACCCCAAACAAACGCATGAACTGTTGTTGGTAGCCCTGGTAGTTGATTTTTGAAGGGAACCCCCAACAGAAACAAGAAGGGCTGTTTTTGGTAGTCGAGTTTATCTGGACACCACCCCCCGAAAACACAAAAAGCACGGTTTTTGGCAGGCGACTTCAAAGGAAAGCCACGCCCTTAAGCGAAAAAGGTGCCCGGACGGACGGTTTTTGGTAGGTGATGCTAAAGGGAAACCACTCCCTAAACCCACCCACACAAAACAAAAGCGGGGACTTCCCCACGTTGGACCCCCCCCCCGACGAGAGCAATATTGGTTGACCTATTGCCAGTGGGCCACTGGACAATTTTCCCTGGCATCATCCAGAGGGCTTTCATCAGAGAGCTTCACGGTAACGCCACACTTTCGCGGAAAAGACTTGTGTGGCGCCGTTGCTAAAAAATCTTCCGCGGAGGTAACGTAACCAATACCCATGGTCACCGCACACTAATTCCTTCCAAGGACCTCTTGGACGACTCCAATACACAACATGTGCCTTCTACATTTGACTGAGTTTCATTTGAGGGGGAGATGTTTAGAAATCAATTACTTGCCAGCACTTGGTTGCTGTTGACCCCTCTGCAACAAGTGTTCAACTTCTTGTGGGTTTCATAGACAACCCTTGATTTCAATTTCAAGTCGAAAGATCCGTTGCCAAAGAGCCAAAAATAACTTGGCTGGAATTCGGACCCCAGCAAAAAATATATCTTTTTTTTTTTGCCTGGTTAGTGGAAAACAAAGGGGGGCCCAAAAAAGCAAAAAGGGAAAAGGGGGAGCCAATTCTGGGGAAGAGCAAACGGCCCAATGAAAGGCGCTCACCTTTTGCAACCTATGGAAATGCTCTAGGATTCTAGGACTCCAGGCAGGGGAACCCGTCCATCCGTGCGATCCTTTGAGCAATTCGTGCAGTGTGTGTCTTTCCCCCAAATGGTTTCCGGTTGGTTTCAATGGACACCAAAGTGTCTTTCTGTCTTTCTGGTTCTGCTGGTTTCCCTTGAAACCAAAGGGGGTTACCCAAAAAACAGACGCCAGTTGCTTCCAGAAGGTCGAATCAGGTCATCCTGGAGGTTGGTGCTTTGGATCGCTGGGGGAGAGGGATGGAAGACCACCCCGGTTTTGCTGTCCCACCAAGCCATCCAATCAGGAAACTGATCTAGCCAACCCTCACCAACCTGGAACCAACCCTAAACCCATCCTAACCAACCTTGAACCAACCCTATAGCCAACCTTCAACCATGAACCAACCTTGAACCAACCCTAAATCCAACCAAAACCCAAGCCAACCCCAAACCCACCCTAAACCACAACAACCAAAAACCCCTCGCAGGGAGCTTCTCGCTTGGCTCTAAACCCACCCTAAACCCCCACAAGCCAACCCTCAACCCACCCTCAACCCCCACCTCAGCCCACCACAACTCAGTGAGTAGGGACCTCCCCACAAGCCAACCCTCAACCAACCCTCAACCCCACCGGACCGCCCACCCACCAACCCCACCACGGACCCCTCACAGGGGACTTCTGGCTGAATTCGCCGAGCCACATCTTTGGCCCAAGCCTTCGCGCCCGGAAACAGCTTCCTGGCCGAGGGATCCATGACCCCGAGTTCTTCAAAAAGGGTCGGCGATGCGGATACCAAAAAAAAAGCCTCTGGAGCTCCCAAAAAAACGCCACTGGAGCTCCCATGGAATATTTGTGTGTGTTGTTGTCCACTGGAAAAAAAACAGAGGAAAAAAAAACCAACAGGTGTGGACAAAAGATAAGCAAAGGGAAGGGATGGACCAGGAGCTTCCCTGAAGCTTCTTCAAGTGGTTCAAAGGGAAAGTGAAGGAACCCGCAAAGGGCAAGGGAAGATGAGTCAAGTCCGGGAATGCGATTTGTGAAAGGGATGTTGGAACCGCCATTCTAGTGGTGCTCCTCTTGGTTCCCCTGAAAAAGCCACCCCAACAAAGGGCAATCTTCCGGACATGTTGTGTTTCCCAACGGGCATGATGAAACATCTTGGCCTGTGCAGCCATGCCCTCCAAGCGGTATGTTTCACCTTTGCGACTCTAATATTGTAAGTTGGACGTGGACGTCAAATGGAACTTGTGTCCGTCAACTTGTGAAGGGCTCAACGTAAGCTCGCTTGAAACCTAAAGTGCTTTGTTTTAAAACCTGTCCTTCCGTGGCCATGGGGGATTGAAAAGGGACCCTTCCCCCCAAAGGACCCCCCAACGCTCGCAGCAACATGGGGAAAAGGACTTCACCGCAAGTCGAAAGAGCAAATGTCCGGTTGTGTCTTCAAAAAGGGGGCCCAATGCTGGCTTGCCCGTGGTTTCCTTTCAAAACCTCCAAACGGGTGCCAAACACACCAGCTGATACGCTTTGGTAGGCTTCCTCGAGGGTTTTTGTTTCCCCCCCTTTCAAAATCCTGTTCAAACAGCATGCCTCAACTTGTTGAGAGATGCGAGAAAGAAGCGCTTGAGCAAGGGTCCAGTACATCCAAAAACAACCCGCTTTGCAAGGAGGTTCAGCTAAGGGTGATTTCGAACGGCACAAGTTGTCCAGCTTCCCCGAAGCCCCCAAGGGTAAATCTTAAACATCACTGGCAAATTGAAAGTGAGCTTTCCGTCGGGTCATGATTTTACCGAGGGTGGGGGGCGCGGGGGGGCTCGCCAGCATCCCCCTTGCGGCTCGGTACCCCTTGCAATTGAAGGGACGCCAACAAGAAAGCCTCCCCCACAATCTTTGCGGGAGGGGGTCCCCCTATTTTGACACATACCCATTGCCCACGTTGCCCATATCGTTGTACAGGGGCCCCTCGTTAAACATGACAATTCGCTAGGGATTCATGTCACACTTTTTGGGGGGTCACTCTTTTCAGTTCACACCGATCATCTCACTGCCGATGGGCCAAACAAGAAGCTACCGAACTGCTCCTGTACTACCAAAATGGCCTCCCCCCCCCCACAAAACCAAACAGAAAAAGAAGAAGAAGAAGAAGAAGAAAAAAAAGAAGAAGAAGAATAGAGCACCCGAACTTTTTGTGTACCACCAAACAGGCCCGTCACTGAACTCTGAAACGGATTTCACGCGAGCCACAAAAAACCATCCGAAGTTTGGATTCGGATCATCCAAACCAACAAGGGCGCGCGGAACCGTCGTTTTCCTTGTGGCTTGCCGTTTGGCTTTCCTTTGAAACCACAAAACGGGGGGGGGGGTGCCAACTCAGAAAAAGACGAGCCACCCTGAGGCCCCGCCCTTTTCAAGAGAAGCCCACTGGAAGCCCGAAAACCAGGTTTTTTTTTGCTTTTCGTTGGTTAAACAAAAAAAACTGGGAGGGCGGTCCCCTCCTCAAGACATCTAGGTCCTGCAGTAGAGAGGTTAGAATAAGGGTGCCCGTGTTTTTGTTTTCTTTCTGTAGTCTATTTTAGTAGGGGCACCCTCCAAAAAGGGGGCAAAAGGGCACCTAGCCGGGGACTGCCTGTATCTTTTTATTGTGTGGCACCTAGCTGGGATACCTATGTGGGTCAGATATAGGTACCCAAAATGGCTAACCCTGGTAAATGAAAACGTGGACTAAACCCCGCAGTCCATATCCTGGTGGTTTAATTTTGACCCATATGGCCCATACCCATGACATGGACCACGGCGAATCGATGTTAGAAACAGGGTACCCTATTCTTTTCCGGTTTTCTCTATTTTAGTAGGGGGGTTCCCTCCCAACCAAAAAAGAGACGGGTGAGAAGTGGGCACCAATTGCTGGACCTAGGTCACCCCCCCTGAAAAGTGCTTGCTGGACATTGAAAAAGTGGTTGCTTGGACCCTGGCGTATTTTGGTAGGGGCTTTCCCTCCCAACCCAAAAAAGATTGAAAAATGGAGTGAGGACCCAGCTGGCGTATTTTGGTAGGGGCCCTCCCTCCCAACCAAACACGGGCGAGAACGGGTCTGCGCTGGCGAACGACATGGCCGCGGCGAATCGAATCGAAGACGTCGGTCCTGAGGTCCATGGCCCGCGCGCCGCCCCGCAGCTTGGAGACGCCGATGACCAGCTCCTCCGCCGTGAGGCGCCCGTCCCCGTCGTCCAACCTGAGGTCAAATGGGCCGCCCGCAGAGCCCCAGGGTCCATGGGGGGGAACCATATATATATATATATATGTATATATTTGTATATATTTGTATGTATATATATATATATTAGTATATATTTGTATATATTTGTATATATATATATACATATGGGCCGCCTGCAGATTTTCTGCGAAAAGTGAATAACTTGTGGGTGACATGGAAACCCAACCACTAAACTAAAAAGCTAAAAAGCTAAGGAACCGGATGTCTGGGAGCCACCAAGTGGGGAGGCTGGAAAAAAAGGGTTGTGGCCCACCCCCAGAGGGGGGAGAAAGGGGGTCTGTGATGGGCGACCTAGGACCAAAACAGGGTATGGATAAAATTTATGCATGGGTTGTACTTTGGGGAGAAAAACACGTGTTGGTTGGTCTTTCTAAGGGAATTCATGGGAAGCGTCCTCACTCTGTTGCGTGGGGAAAAACCTTTTTTGGTTGGGGTTTTTCGGGAAACAACAAGGATAGGAAAGGAAGATCTAAATAGAAAAAGAAAAGGAAAATAGCAACCAAGCGAATCAAGGAAGCGGTCATCCCTTCAATCATCTCTTTATCCTATCACCACACCAATCATACAGTATCGGAAATAATCTTGGTGTGCAGAATGTGATAGGAAAGAGATGAAAGAAGGGAAATAGTGATTCATCCTTCGTCTTGGATCTTCCACGTGACAGAGTAACCAAACGGAAGAGGAAGAACAAGGAAGAGAAAAGATGAATCACGTTCTTCTTTCCATGGCAAGCCAACAAAAGACACACCCGGGGAGGGGCTGGAGAGAAGAAGGATGGGTTCCACCCCCAAACTAGGAAAGCAACGGGCATGCAATTTTATGGATGGGTGATAAACTTATACCAGGGGGTGGTTAGGTGGTAGCGGAAACCAGATTAGAATGAAAAAGGGGGACCGGGGTCCTCGACTCTTGCCAAGCAAAACAATGCACGAAACATCTCAGATACTCTATCAGATATAGAATCAAGTCGCTTTGCATGTTGAAATCTATGCAACCTTATGCCTTCATGCGTGGTTGGACATCTTGTATCAAGTTGAAATTGCAGCTAGCCTCACACACACACACATTGCCTGGTGCATGCACCATCCTTGGATGCTGTTGACCCCTCCGCAAAAAGTGAATAGCTTGCTGTGGGTCCAATAGAAACTCCGCAAACAACAAGTTGTTCAAGTCCAAAGATCCGTTGCCCAATAATTATGCACGAAGAACCTGTCGTCTTACAACTTAGTTGCTGCAACGACCCCGCCCCAAAAAGCGCTCAACTTGTGGGCTCAATTCGGAAAACCCTTGCACTCAACCAAAAAGTTAAACGTGGACGAAACTCAGCTCTAGGACTCTAGGCTCTAGGCTTGAACCCGCAAAGGGATTAGCAAGCTTTGGCTTGGAGAAGCCATTTGGGTGTGTCCGTTTTTTCGGGGACCCCTCCAAAATGATGGTTGTCCTTTTCGTTTCCCTTCAACAGACACACCCATTTGTTCTGGGGGGATTAATAAACCTCCTAGGTCGTTAGGTCGCATTGTCGCTCTGAAATGAGTTGGGTCGCAACACGGCAACTTTTCTGAAAGCCACGTCAATACAGGCAGGCGGCAACTCCTGGAATTTCCCCGAATTTCAGAGGTTGGACCAAAGTGGAACTTACCGTCCCGGAACCCCAGAAGCCCCCCTGAAAGCTGCCCCCCCGCCCAGAGCCTATCTGGGCCTACCAACCCCATAGCTTTCAGCGGTTGGGGAAAATGTTCTAGGTCCTCCAGATTTGAGAGCTTAGAATAAGGGCACCAACTTTATTCCGTTGTCTGTTTTAGTAGGGGAACCCTCCCCCGAACAAGTTGGTACAAGGGCACTACTGGGGGACAAAACTGTTGGTGCCACCACAAACTAAATCGAGGAACATCTCGAAGAGCTCCTCCGCGTCACTGGCGTCCTGGTGAAAAAAACAGACCGGTGCGGGGTAGCCTCCCAATTATGGATGCGTGTGTGTATGTGTTCTTCTTTTTTTGCGGGGGTCCCCCCAACATGGGTGGTGTTGCCTTTAAGGTGTCCTTCTAAAACCTACCAAAAAAAGGGTACCCTCAAGAAAGATTTCAAGGGTCCCCCCCCAAATGGGGGGGGTGTTACTTTTAAGGTGTCCTTTCAGAACCCTACCACAAAAGGGTGACTCTCAAAAAAGAGACGAACCCGCATGGATGTGCCTCGAAATGCAAGAGCAAGGGTGACGCAGCTGTCCGCCTTTTGTTCCATTTAATTACCAAGGTGCCTTTTTCATACATTTGTCTGAGCCACAGCCATAGTAGGTTCTTCCTAGGTGGTTTGGAGCCCGTTGGTTTGGTGCTCAGGGGTGATTTCCCACTTACCCTCTGCAAACACCAAGTCGAATCACCAATCCAAACCACCAACTAGGGGTGAGCTGATATCAGTTTTCCTCTAGGTGGTTTGGATTTGGTTCCAAGGTATTCCGGGGTCATGTCCCATATTCCCTCAACAGGAAGGGCTTCGGACAGCCAATCCAGACCAACTGTCTTTATGACATGGAACCGCAAGAGGGGTGCCTCGAAAGGAAAACAACAATAAACACATCCTTTCAGAAGGGCGGGTTCCCCGCTGAGGTGGCAGCAACCACATCAAAAAAGACAAGCATCCCCCCCTCCCGCCCGCAGCAAGCGGACGGATTCAGGATCGGCCTTTGACAAACCATTGGTACCGCACTGCTCTTGTGAGCAATCAGTATAGAGGACTAGCATGAGCCAGCCTTGAAAACCCCGACCAGGGGCCCATTTTTTAGTTTCCTACTGCCTGGCTTCACGAAGGTCAAATAGTCGCGCCTATAAACCTCACTACTCCTGCTGGTCTAGCCTCCAGGTCTCCATTCCACTCCACTCGGGGCAAAATTCTCACCAAGCCCCAAGCAAGTAGATCGCCATGGGTGAGCTGTGAGCTCCTCTGAATCCGAGGTGAGCTCAGTAAGACTTGTCCAAACATGTCCAGAGTCATGTTGAAACAGGTCAACAACACCTGCCTGAAGGACGATCAAAATCAAGACCAGCATGGAACCGAACGGAAGGAGGGTGCTATGTGTCAACACTTGTCAAAGTAGCGCTGAAACACCAAACACATGGCCCAGAACAGTGGAGCGGCCTTTTTTCCTTTTCACTTCAAACCAACCCCCTCCCACAGCTTCCTTTTAAGGGACCCTCTCGGCGGTTTCGGGCCGGAAAAACCCGCCCCTTCCGCCCATCTGCCCGCTCCAAATCCATCGCCGCCAGCCAGATCTTGACGTCCGAATCCAGCAGGATGGCCTTGAACTCCTGACGGCGAACTCGGAAACGCACTCGGAAGAAGCGCGCCTTCCATGTGCTGAAACGAAGATGTTCTATGTTCCCCCGTTGGTATCGATCTATGACGACTGGACATATGTGTTCGAACTTGAGCGACGTAGGAATCACACGTTAAGTGTGCAACCACGAACTGGTTGCTGCCCGCTTTCTGATCCCCGGCTAAAGGTGAATAACTTGTGGCTTTAATGGAAACCACCACTAAACCAACTAAACACGTAAAAAGTCTGAGTTGAACCGGATGGCTGGGAGCCACCAAAGGAAGTGCACATCCCCATTTCGGTCACAATCAAAGCTGGGGTATGAAATGGTCGAGCCCCAGAACCATGTAAAAGAAAAAGCGGCCGCACCCAGTCACCCAGTCCCTTACTACCCCTAAGAAAGGACACCCTTTGAAGGCTAAAGCCGGGGTCTTCGCACCATAGTCCAACCAGGTCTTAAGGTTTGGGTTTGGAACCTTTACAAATCATCTTAGAGGTCTTCTATCTTAAATTGGCAACTTCCCTTTTGTATCTGAAAAAAATCAGGAACCTTTACAAATCATCCAGCTGAATCCTCCTGACTGATTCGACCAAAGGATAGAAGGAGATGACGCTGAGTGGATTGGCAACCAAAGCGTCAAGACTTGTCGGGGTCGCTACATTTGCCAATTTTCCGTTGAGGGTACATATCTATTGGGATTGCCTTGAAAGGAAAACCAAAAGGAAAAAACCAGCCATTGTATGGGTCCATCTCCCTTGATGCACATATCATCTCCTTTGAAAGGATGTTGAGTCTCCTTGGCGCCTTGAGTCAGTTAAGTGGCCAAAGTCGCGCCTTGGGCCACTCGAAAAAAGCCTTTGCTTGGGTCCAACATGCGACCGCCAAGAACCTTTGGGGTGGGTCAAGGGACCCCCAAAACGCTTCAGGCTTTCCTCTTGATTGCCCCGCGCGGCTTGCGCGTGGCATTTGGGTACACGGAACCAGGTGAACTTACCTTTGCCCGCGAGATATGAATGAAACGCCCACAAATCGATGTATCTTTGCCCTTCACCAGCCCAAGTGATTCTCCCCGCTGGGTGCCAAATCGGGGTCTGGCAAAATTTAACAGAAATGCATATCAATACCCCCTGTTGGGTTCCTTTGGGCAAAATGATCATTGGCTCACAGCACCTGCAACATGGGATCGTCGATTTCCGGGATTGGATCGTGTCACCACAAAGCGCTTTCTTGAGCGCCGAGCCCACAAAAGTTGACAGGAAGCTGTAGCTTCACCAACCCACAAAGTGAGAGACTTGTTCCACGTGCGAATACGCCTGGAAAACAAAGAAATCGTACCCAAGTGCTAGATTCGCTGTAAACCCAACCAGGGGAAACACAAAAAACAACTCTTAAGTAAATGGAAGTGATTCATTCCCAGGATATTTCACTGATTCGCTCTTAGCCTGGCTTCCTGAGTGGATAGGCCAAGGCGTTTGTTCGCCTCTGAAAATGCGTCTGCCTGAAAAGTATGCAGTACACACCATCTATCGAGCGGATCTAAGCAGAGCGAGTAGCACCTGCGTTTAAACCCTTAAACATCACCGGACGGAGACTCACCTCAAACGGGCGCTGAACAAATTGATATCTGATTAAATTTCAAACCCTAGTGAGTACCAGGATGTATTCAAGCCTTCTCCAGCTGATCCGGCTGCGGTGCTTTTTTTTCTTTCTCCCCGGGCGTGCCTATGCTTCGGTTAAGGCGGGAGTTCAACGAGAACTTCCTAGGCTTGAGGCCCTTGAGGCCCGTTTGCAGCTCAAGGAACTTGCTAGGAACTCTACAAAAGCTTAGGGCTCCCGGAAGAACCCCGTCTTACTTTAGAACCCCTTGTCCCCATCTACTGCTTGGGAGCGCCAAAACTCTCAAAGCCCAACTTTAGGTGCACCTGCATGTAACGATGGACAAAACAGGGGGCAAGGTTGTCACGGAAACAGGGGGAGAAAGTGTACGGGTAACCAGTCAGGCGCCATAGTTGTTTGTTTCAAAAGCGTGGCTCCCTCGCAGGGCAGTTCAATACTCAGCTACCACAGCTTGCCTCATGATCCGTGGATGGACGAAACCACTTCGCGCCAGTTGGATGAAACCCTATGAATACTGGGCACCATCTCCGCTTGAGCAACTGAAAGTCAGAGGAAGCGAATTTGGAGGTCCCAAACAAATTGCGGCGCCAAATCGACTCTGCGCCTCGATGTCCAGCTTCCCGTCCCCAGAGGTGTCCGCATCGTCAAAGAGCGCCTTCATTTTCCTGAGAGGATCGCACCGGTCAAGCGAGATTTCCTGGTTCAGGCCAGATTTAAAAAACAAAAAAGGAAAAAAAGAAGAAGAAAAAACGAAATCCGTCCATTTTCATGGGGTATGTCCCTTTTAACGAGACCGGATCAATAAACCCCTGGTTGATTTGGAGAGATAGGGTGTCCCCCTTTTAGGGGATTCAGACCTTTTGGAGGGGAACACCAAAATCAACCGGGTATTCATCTAATCCGGGCTGAAGATTAAACCCCCCCACCAGAAGGAAACTTACTTTGATTTGGCCCAGAAAGCCTTTTTCTGTTTGAGTTTTACACCACCACCACAGGAAATCTTGGGAATGAATTGGTTTCGCCACATGCAACCCCAAAACAAGCAACAACTTCCCACTGGGAACCTCGAAAAAGGCACCTAAAGGGGAGCAAACTCAAATGTGTCACGTTCCAAATTGGCCATGGGTCAACATCCCGTCCCCAGTGAACCTGGCAATCCCCACTAAAATAGACAAAAATAGGTGGTGCACCTACCCAAAAATGGCACCATTGCTTTAGAGCTCGTTCCCTGGCTGTGGGAAGTTTGGAAAGTTCATGTGCCTCCCAGCCACCATGTACCGGTGCCTACCAGGAATGCTGACCCCTGATGAATACCCTCCCACCAACTAACAGGCCTTCTAACAGGAAAGTAGTCTTTCTACAGGGGTCTGTGCACTTTTACGTTTGCTGGCGGGAGGGTAATCCCGATTGCTAAGAGGTCCAACAACTCTATGGCCGTTTCCTTGAAGGCTCCGCCCAAATGGCCCCCGGGCTGAGGTTCAGTCAAAATTAGTCTTCACCTCTGATTCATACACCAGTTATGAGTCAGAGGGTGGCCTCTGGAAGAAAGGATCCCGCAAAAAACAAACCTCCAGGTTCGAAGGGGCCTCCAAGCGCTCGCTGCTCGAAACTCTGACCTGACTCGCCCCACAGAAACCCACCAAAAGGAGCTTACACAGGGACCTGCGGCCACCCGAAAACCGGTGGTTTCGCTGGAAGCGCACAAAACCCCTTGGTGTCAAAAAAAACTGCACCAAGAATGGTCAGCTCTCATATGTCCAACTTCGTATACCAACTGGATGGGTTTTTATTTGTCTCATCTCACTTCCCAAGTTGACTGGCCAAAGAAAGTTCGAACTTTTTATTTCCCACTAAAATGGCCCAAACCCAAAAAGCTTAAAGTCCACCAACTCAGGAAGTGAGTCATGGAAACAAGCTCCCCCCCAAACGAAGTTCGTGGTGTCAACGGCTCCGGTGCGTTTTCTTCGGAAGTCGCTGGTGGCTCGCGCACTTGCCTCGCTTCATCTGCGAAAGAAACAACATGATCCAAAATGAGTTAAACAAAAATGCCCCCCTCGCTTGCTTCCTCGCTCCGGGAAAAAAAAAAGATAATCGAAAACGAAAAGTTGCAACAAAAACCACTGCTGGAATTTCCATGTGAAAAAATAAATAATAATAATCCAGAATGAAGAATTTCAAAAGAACCACTGCTGGAAATCCAAACAAAAAACACACCAGTTCCGGTTTCAACCGGTGGTCGCCCCAACGGCGAACACCCCAAACCTCCGCCCGGCAAAAGCCGCGAAACAAGGCGCGAGACAAATCCAAGGCCCAGCGGCGTGGTGTGGACCCGCATGGCCCGCTGCTTCTCCCGAACCATGACCTTACCGACCCATGGTGAGACAAATGGGCCGTCAGTTATGGAATGTATATTTTACTGTTTGCTTCACATTTTATTGTTTGCTTCACTTTGAGTCACTGGTAAAATGCAAAATGTGTCCTAAGTCTACCCTAGGTGCCTTGTTTCAGGTTGGACCCCTGCCCAAACGAAAATATTTGTTTGTTTTCGTTGCCCTGTTGAAAGCACAAAAAACCCAAACTCCTTTTGGTTTCCCTTTTAAACCACGAACGCAACAAAAACTGTTGTCTTCCTTTTGGCTTCGCTTTTAAAGCGCACCAGAAAGGTACACCAAGAACGCAGTTGCCAGTAGTTGCTTCTCAGAACCCGAAGACTAAAAAGGCGATCACCTTTGGCCACTCAAACTTGACCAACCGTGAGGAAACCAAAACGTGACTTCAGATCGAATTGCTCTGTGCAAGTGAGACGCATTGCAGCTAACTTCAGTTAGTCCAAAATCTAGAAAGATCTGGGAGTGTGTGTCCGCCGACATTGCTCGGCGTGTCGGACACCTAAGAGAGGATAGAGGATAACCCCCCCCCTAACCCCCCCCCCCGCCCGACGTCTATTACGTAGGTTTTTGGGGGGTGTTGCAAAACAGGGGTCCCAGGCTCGATTCCCCCTGCCGGCTTTTTTGCTGGCTTGGGCTTCCTGCATCCGTTTGCCGAAAATCTGGCAAAACTCTGTGTTTTTGGACATCCTCTTTGCGAAAACGCGGGAAACACCGTGTATTTTGCGGGAAATACTGGGGAGCAAAGGGGAAGTGCAAGGATACATACATACATGCATACAGACAAACATACAGACAGACAGACAGACCTACATACATACATTACATACATACATGCATTACCTTACATTGCATTGCATTACATTACATTACATTACATTACATACATACATTACATTACATTACTTTACATTACATTACATTACATTACATACATACATACATACATACATATGTACATACATACATACATACATACATACAGACAAACGGACCTACATACATACATTACATACATACATACATGACATTACATTACATTGCATTGCATTACCTTGCATTGCATTACATTACATTACATTACATTACATTACATTACATTACATACATACATTACATTACATTACATTACATTACATTACATTACATACATACATACATATGTACATACATACATACATACAGACAGACGGACCTACATACATACATTACACACATACATACATGACATTACATTGCATTACATTACATTACCTTACATTACGTTACGTTACATTGCATTACATACATACATACATACATACATTACATACATTACATATTACATACATTACATACATATTACATACATTACATACATACATTACATACATACATACATACATACATACATACATGCATGCATACATACATACATACATACATACATACATACATACATACATTACATACATACATACAGTACATGAATACATGCATACATACATACATACATGCATACATACATTACATTACATACATACATACATTACATTACATTACATTACATTACATTACATTACATTACATTACATTACATTACATACATACATACATACATACATACATACATACATACATACATACATACATACATACATACATACATACATACATACATACATACATACATACATACATACATACATACATACATACATACATACATACATACATACATACATACATACATACATACATACATACATACATACATACATACATACATACATACATACATACATACACATACATACATACATACATACATACATACATACATACATACATACATACATTACATACATACATACATACATACATACATACATACATACATACATACATACATACATACATACATACATACATACATACATACATACATTACATACATACATACATACATACATACATACATACATACATACATACATACATACATACATACATACATACATACATACATACATACATACATACATACATACATACATACATACATACATACATACATACATACATACATACATACATACATACATACATACATACATACATACATACATACATACATACATACATACATACATACATACATACATACATACATACATACATACATACATACATACATACATACATACATACATACATACATACATACATACATACATACATACATACATACATACATACATACATACATTACATACATACATACATACATACATACATACATACATACATACATACATACATACATACATACATACATACATACATACATACATACATACATACATACATACATACATACATACATACATACATACATACATACATACATACATACATACATACATACATACATACATACATACATACATACATACATACATACATACATACATACATACATACATACATACATACATACATACATACATACATACATACATACATACATACATACATACATACATACATACATACATACATACATACATACATACATACATACATACATACATACATACATACATACATACATACATACATACATACATACATACATACATACATACATACATACATACATACATACATACATACATACATACATACATACATACATACATACATACATACATACATACATACATACATACATACATACATACATACATACATACATACATACATACATACATACATACATACATACATACATACATACATACATACATACATACATACATACATACATACATACATACATACATACATACATACATACATACATACATACATACATACATACATACATACATACATACATACATACATACATACATACATACATACATACATACATACATACATACATACATACATACATACATACATACATACATACATACATACATACATACATACATACATACATACATACATACATACATACATACATACATACATACATACATTACCTACCTACATACATACATACATACATACATGCATACATACCTGCCTACCTTACATACATAAATACATACATACATGCATACATACTTACATACATACATACATTACATACATACATCTATACATGCATGCATACATACATACATACGAGAGAGGGAGATTGGGGAGAGAGTGGCTTGGCGGGGATGGGGAGGATGGGGAGCGGAGGGAGGGAGAGAGGACGACAGAACACACCAGGGAGACAAGGGAGAGAGGAAGAAGGAGAAAAGGGAGAGGACAATGTCGGCGGACTGAGCCGGAGGCTCTAAAGTTTTTTAGGGGACCCCCACCAACTGTGGCTTTTCTGTGGTTTTGCCTTTAGAGCCAACCCAAGAGGGGTTCACTGAAACAAGACGCACCCATCTGAGCTTTCAGCTTTGCTAAGGGAACATCAGGGAAACATGCAAACAGCTCAAAGAAACAAGCTATCTGAGTCTGACATATTCATCTGTTGAAACTGTCTTTTTGGTGCCAGAATGGCAAGCCTCAGGAAAGCAACACACGAGTCGCTTGAGTTAACTTTTTGCTGGTTGGCATGGACAACCAATGGGAAGCTTCCCGATTTCCACAGATCCTCCGCAGGAAACCGAGCGCAAGGCGGAAGGGCTCATTTGCTTAAGATAAAACCGAGCGGCATCAATGCCATGGGTTGTTTGTTTAAGCAAGTCGGTTGACTCAAGTCATTTTTTTGCTGGTTGACTCACTTGAGTAGATGGCGCAAATACAGTCCAAACTTGTTAAAACCCAAATGGTCCAACCCAAGAATATTAAAGTCCAGGAACTCAGTCAGTTGAAGGGAAAAGCATGGGACACCAACAATGTGTAACAATCAGCTTCCTTCCAATTGGTGGTTGGGATTCGGTTTGGTTAGGGACGGTTTCCCATTTACCCTCTACAAGAACCATGGGTTCAAATCCAATCCCAGCCACCAATCCAAACCAGCTATGGCTTAATGCTGACCCCCTATTAGTCAACCCCAGTCTATGGGGCGCCCCTGGTTTTAGTGGCCATTCAGGCCACTTGTGGAGGGGCCCCCACCCCCTTCTTAATAAACAGGGGTTGATGAATAGCGACCCAACAATACCTGAAACAAAGCCGGGAAACAAAGGCCCTGTTTGTTTCGTTCAAACAAGCTAGTTGCTTCAGTTCTTGTTTTGCCGGTTGAACGAATTAAACGGCCTGGAACACCACCAAAGGCGAAATCCAAACCACCAATCCAAACCAGCTATGGGTTCATGTTGCCCCTGGTTTAGTGGGGGTTCAGGCCACTTTTGGAGGGAAGAAAGCAGTGGTTGATGAATAAGGGGCCAACATTACCCGAAACCAAGCCGGGGGGAAAAAAAAGAAAACAAAACATGGTTTGCTTCGTTCAAACAAAAAACCTAATTGCTTGGCTTGCTGTCTTAAGCTGCTTGAACGGATTAAACCGCCTGGAACGTTGCACCAAAACTCGTCATGCCACGTTGTCGTCCGTGTGCGCCACTCGGAAGGTCTCCTACGGACCAAATGGCGGGGGTATGCGGGGGTCAGGTGCATTTCTCGGTGGCGGTTCTCTGCTCCCCTGCAGAAAAAGTGAAGAACTCTTAGTGGATTTGGGTAATAAAAAATCCAGAGATCCAGTGGATTTTAGTGAATTGCCAGCTATGTGCGAAAAAAAAAAAAAAAAAAACGGAAGACCCATGAAAGAAGGCAAAAAGTTGAAAGTCCTAACATCCCTGCAAAGATTATTTTTGCCAGCGGAGTTACTATGCGGAAATCAAACACAACAGCAGAACCATTGGTGTGTTTTTTGGGAAAATAGATGGACCACCAGGTAAACGAGGGCCCTCTATTTTCGACCAAATCAACCAAAAACGACACCTATGAGCAGAACTATGTTACTAGGCTGGTTCTTTCCTAGGACTGGTTTTCCGCAGGGCTGGCACCAACCAGGGGACCAGCCCCAGGAAAAGAACCAGCCCTAGGGAAAAAAAACACCCCCGGATCCAGTCGCTATGCGGAAAACAAAATCAAAGCAGAACTACGTTTGAGCCCAGGGCTGCGGAAAATGGAATCCACTTCTCTGTGTTTTTCCACAAAAAGGGCAAACACAAAAACACAGAACTATGCTTGAGTCCAGGGCTGTGGGAAATGGAATCCACTTCTGCGTCTTTGACAAAAAGGGCCTCCCAAAGACGAACCCCCAATGTAAAGAGGGGATTCCTTTGTATCACAGAAGCAGGAATAAACCCGTGATCCCACAACCCTGTGTTTGAGGGTACCCTTGTTTTGTGGTTTTTTGGGGACACCACAACTAAAACCCATGCCAAATTTGGGGGGTGGTCCTGATCAAAAGTCATATATATATATATATGTCCTTGGAAAAACCTCCCCGAAAGGAAACAAAAAAGGTAAACGCACCAAAGGGTCGCTTTTCCTTGGGGAGAACCTGCCAGAAAAAAAGGGAAGCCACACACCGCAAAAAAAATCGGAGGGCTGAAACCCTCAGGCGGCCTGCGTGTTTTTTTCTTACCAAAAATCGAGAACCCTTCAGGGTAGCGTAGGGTTTCCTTTTGGCTTCACCTCCGAAAAGGCACTCTGATTTTGAAGGAGACAAATTTGTTGGCAGGCTTTTGGCCACCTGCGAGAGGATCTGGGAGCCCGTCTTGGTTGCATGCCGCAAAAAGGAACCCGCACAAAACGGTCTGTGGTTCAAGGTGGCACCAAGTTTGAAGGGAAGCCAATTGCGTCTACGGCAAATTTAAGGGAAGCCGGGGTAGCAGCCCCTGAACAACTGGGTGTGTTGTAGAACGCCTGCATCAGCACGCCATTGATCACCCCGATCACTGCGAAGCCCATAGTCAGCTTGTGGAGCAAGCAGAAGATCATCCACCTGCACTGGGAGGGGCCGCTTTTTCTTTTGGATTGGGGACCCCACAAATGGGTAGGTTTTTTATTTTTGGTGTCCCAGTGAACCCTCAAATTTTCGGACGGCCGCCCGTGCCTCCATTGGAAGGGGAGTTGGACCCCAGGGTGGAAAGCCAGCGGAGCTGCGGGAAAATAAAAAGGTAAGGAGCCCAAGGGAGATGAAGAGAGACTGAAGGGAACTACAAGGAAACAACGGGAAACGTCCGCATTCCAGGTGGTCTGAAAGAAAAAGCAGCGCCCCAAAACCAAAAGCAAAAGCTTCAAGGCACTGACATGGTGCCTTACGTCACACCTCGTATAATCTCTTGTGATGGAAAGTGGTACAAACCTTCATGTCTTTAATGATAGAAACACGATTTCAAACGGGCGATTGACATCTGCAAATGGTACACTTTCCCTTCTAGTTAAAACCATCCGAAGAAGGGTCCAGATCTTTTCGAGCCATCCCTACTTGGTCGACATCCGGGGTATAGGGGAACTAATATTGTTTGACTCTGTTACACATTTAGTCTGCAACATAAACTCGGTTGGGCCCAGACATAGAGTACTCGTTGACTACTACCAATCCTGCCAGTGGGGCGTAGGATCAGCGTGGATTGTACTTTCTTATTGCAAAAGCACGGGCCACTGGACATCTGCCCCTGACAAGTTGAGCATTTCACTGCTGGTTTGCAGTGTAAATCGATCTCCACCGTTGGTTCAACGTGCCCGATGATCATACTGTGGATGGACCAAACCCACTTTGCTGAAGCCCCATGAGTGATGTTCACCATCCACTCCCGTGCCAATTTCTTCTCCATAGAAGGATGTCGTCCTTTCACAGTACGGCGTTGCTCCGAGCCCTCCGAAGCAACAACTCGCTAGACTGGTTGTAGGCTTACTAGGTCAGTAAAGAGGTTAGAATAAGGGAACCAACATTTTTCAGTAGTCTATCTTAGTAGGGGGACCCTCCCCCCCAAAAATGGGTGAGAAAGGGCACCAATTGCTGGGGGACCTAGTTTGAGATTGGTGGTTTCCAGGCTTGGGATGGTTTCCTTTTCCACCGACCAGAACCAGGGCTTCAAATCCTAATCCAGCAATCCGAACCACCAAAGGGGTTTCCTGACCGCATTCATTTGGCTCAATTTCTGGAATTTCCTTCTGCAAGGGTGGTAAGGGGTGGGTGGGTTGAGAGCTCCTTTTTGAGGTGCCTTAGGGTTTTCCAGGTTTTGTTAGGGAGCTCCTCCCTGGATTTCTCGTCCCAACTCCCCCGAATGCGATGAAGGCCAAGCCGCCACTCGCTGACGTTGTTCACTAGCAGCCGGCAGATGGGGGGCCAATTCGCCAAGGTCATCTCGAACAACGACAGCAGAGACCGGCTGAAAGTGCCAAAGTACTCGTACACCTGGAGCGGGTTTCTCTCTTTCCCACTTTAGTTGGTTGCGTTTTCTTCTTCTTCTGCTTCTTTTTGATTCTCTCTCTCTCTCTCTCTCCCTTTTCGTCTTGGTTGCTGGAAAGGGCCCTCTGGAAAAAGTGTTATTGCTTTTTGTCCTTTTTCTGTGTCTCTCTCTCTCTCGTTGTTTTCTTGGTTGCTGAAAAGACCCCTCTGCAAATCGTGAAACACTTTTCGTGGGTTCAATGGAACACATAAGTTACTGCTTCCCAAAAATGTAAAGTCTAAAGGTCCAACCCACAAATATATGTGTTGTGGCCTTCTTTCTTACTTCAAATCCGAATCCGCACCAATCAGAGCCACCGCCTAAGGGCACAACCACTGCTTTTTGGTTGCGGTACTTGAGATTTTGGACATGAGAAAAAGCAGACCTAAGACGGAACTTGAAGCCCATTGTACACCAACGAAAAGATCTACCGCAAACAAGGAGAGAACTTGTCAGGTGCATGTACACGAAAAGTGAGGAATAATTGCATGCTTACACCAAGTCTCAGGTACTTGAACAGCAATCTGCTTGAAAAAGCTGCCAAACCCCAGGTTTCATCACCATCCTCATGAGGATGGGAGCAATCTCGAGCAGAATCTCGAGGGTGTCTCGTATTTTCTTATTAAGTGGGGCAGCGCCATTCGAGCTTGTGGGGGTGTTCTTGGCACAGTTGGATTCCTGAGAGCATCACGTTCCGTTTGGGCAAAAGAAGCAGCCAGGGCAGTGGGTAAACATGTGGGTCAATATGCGCGTATTTTGGCTGAGGGAAGCCTTTTCAGCTTGGTTCCGTTCGGACCAAAAAAAGGAACACCCAAGCGATGCGCCAGGCGTAATCCGCAAATTGCGTCATGGGGGCCCCTCAGGCTAAAAGCCCCGAACCAAAAACCACGAGGGCGTTCCTTTGGCCTTTGGGTTCCTTTGTTTCCAGCCAAAAGGGTTGGTTGTCCTCCCCCCCGCCAAAAAAAAACACACAACTATGTTGAGAAACTCCCCCCCCCCTTCCGGGGAAAAAAAACAACGACAACTCTATATATATATACATATGTATATATACATATATACATATATACATATATATATGTATGTCTTTTCGGGCCCTCTCAAGACCAGCTTTGGCCTCTTTCTGTTCGTTCAAGGTGGCCAGGTTCTGCCCGTCGAAGTAGAAGCCTCGATCCGCGACCGATCGAAGCGATCGAGGCCTCCAAGCGCTTGCGAAAAGTTGAAGTCCTAACATCCCTTGGCAACATGCGCCGAAGGAATGATAGAGGCTTTCCAAGCCCCAATCACCCCTCCATCCGCAGGAGTCTTTCCAGATGCTGGAGGCCCAAGAAAGCGGAGCTGGAAGGAACTTTTGCTTGGTACCCCTTTTTGGTGGGCATTCAAGGGGAAAACCCAAAGAAAGAACTTTTCTTTTTTTTGGGGGGGGGTTGGTGGGCTTTAAAAGGAAAAACCACAAGAAAGAACATATATGTGTTGGGTGGGTGGGAAGTGGGGTCTCGAAAGCAAGACACACCCACTTTGGGTGTGCCAAAATAAGTTTTTTCTTTTGACCCCGAGTTTGCCAAGCGCCCCCAAAAAAGGACGGGAACACACAGAAAACCATCGCATCATGAGTTGGCGATGTGTAAAACTGGAAGCCCCCCCCCCACCCCTGTCCCCGGAAAAATGGTGGTTCTAAGGGTTGATTCCAACCATTCTTTCCAACCATCGTTCTTTTCGAAAACCGGATCCGTTTCCCTGGGTTTCCGCAGGTGTTCTAGAAAGATTCGGATCCTTGGAAAGAATGGCAATGGAAGGTAGCACTGGAGTGGTGTTCCTTTCGCTGGGTAAAAAATGTGCGAGTCCAACCCTTGGCCCTGGCTTGTCAAGGACTCCTTTCGAAGGTCCTTGAATGGAGAGTGACCATCCCTGACGATCCGCCCCCCAGGGGGCACTTGCTGTTGGCAAGTTTTCCTGATTTGGGGCATTCGTTGATTTTGGTGACCATCCCCCTGTTGTCATTTGTTGATTTGGGGCACTCAAGAGTGGTTGGACACAACAAATCCCCACCTGAACTTCCACACAAAGGGTCCCCACTTCAAGCTCAAACCCATTTATCAGAAGGAAGATCAAGTTTTTAGGGCCAAATCGTCCTCAAGTGAAAGATCCCAGCGATAGATGTCTTCTTAAGTGTAGTTCTGATGGATTTTAGTATCAATGTGAGTCCTTGTTTTCAGGGCCCTTCCAAAGTCCTCGACACCCCCAGGAAACAAAGCCGGAGCCACCCAAAAGAAGCAGCCCTGGCTTCGTTGCTCATCGTATTGCGAGGCCTTAATTTGATGGGAGAGCCGCCGGAAGTTGGGACCAGCTCGGGTGCTGTAAGGACATATCGCCTGCGTCACTTCGCCTATCCCAATACAACGAGAATTGGAGGAGACCCCAGCTATCACAGGGTTCCTTAAACTGAAGACCACCTTTACCAGCTGTGCTAGCAGATTTCTACATGTACGAGGTGATCTTTGGATCGGTTTCCTGCCAATACCCTCCAAGAACCATGGAAGTGGACAGGGGGCTTCCCCAAAAGGAAGCTAGCCTTCCAAAACTCTCTGATCGCCAGCTTCCATGATTGGAGGGAGTGTATGTATGTATGTATGTAGGTAGGTAGGTAGGTAGGTAGCTAGGTAGGTAGGTAGGTAGGTATGTATATATATATACATAAATATACAACAGAAAGGAAAGGTAGGCGCTGGGGGGGGGGGAAGGGACCACATATATATATATACACACACATGTGACATCGAATGTATAAAACCTAGGAGCTGGACAGGGCCTGCTGGATGACCAGCGCGCACATCATCTGGCACACGAAGAGCAGCGCCGCGGTCCAGCCCAGCACTCCAAAGGAGCTGCGGACTGCGGTGGTCATCAGGAACAGCGCGTCAAACTCCTGTCACGCGACGGGTTTGTGACCTCCGATCAGCGTTTCCTGTTGGACTTTTATGTTGGGATTTTCATGTTCGAATTTTAATGATGGAACTTTCATGTTGGAAGTTTCACTGGGCGGGATCGGACCACCTCCCCCCCAAAAAACGAGGGTGGTTTCATTTCGGTATTCCTGTAACGGACCAGCCTCAAAAAAGACACACCCATGTGGCGAGCTGAAAAATTGATTCGGTGTCCTTTGGGTTGTTCTCAAAGCCCCCCTCCAAGGTCCCCTTCAAAAACAAATAAACTATGGCGTGGCTGAATTCCTGATGGGTTCATTGCAGAACTACCGGCTTGCGCAAAGGCCCTATGAGCGAAAGATCGTTCAACAAAGGCGTTTGTAGGAGTAAACAAGCCATTTAATGTGTCGTTTTAAAGGTCGGTCCCCCCAACTTGTGGTTTCCCTTCAAAACAACCAAAAACGGGGTACCCTCAAAAAGACACACGCATTTGCTTGCACAAGGTCTCTCCGAGGCGATTGCAAACAAAAGACTAGCCAATTCAAGGCAGGGTTCTATGTTCTGTGAGGGGTGTCTCAAAATTAGGAATTGGTCCCCTAATTTTGTTGGTGTCCTTTTGGTTCCGTGTTGAAAACCAACCAAAGCGGGGCGGCAATGAGTTTCACTACGTGGTTGGTGGAGAAAATACCCCAGCGAATTCTAAGGCCCGCCGAACAATTCCCGAGGTTGAGCGAAAATGTGTCTAAACAGGAGCCTGAGAAACTCTCATGTGAGGTACCTTTGTTTTTGTGTGTTTTGTGAAAGGAAACCGAGAGGAACTCGCCATTGGGCCGAGCCCTTGGACACATAGTACCCATATTCGCTCAAGCATCATCCTGATAGGATTCTCAATGGGACGCAAACAAAGGGAAATATGGGGAGCCCGAAAGTCAGGTTAGGGTCCGTTTAATCAATTGCTGATTTAGACTCTGTGCTGATGTTCATAGCCCACTTGCGCTTGGACTTGGTTGATCTTTGAGCCCTAAAGCGCACACACACACACTTGACGCGGGGAACTGTATTTTTCCACACGCTTAGAACGCTAGCTTCCTGGAAGCGAAGAAGCGGCTCCAAGGATCACCAACCATTGCATAGGGTAGACATATGGGTGACAAAGGGGTTGAACACCAACCCTACGGTACTACACACGCACTCCCATGGATGTGTCTCAAAATAGGCGTCCCCGAGAATGGCAAAAACAACAAACGTGTCCATTTTGAGAAACTCCCCCCCGACCGCAGGTTTTTCCCCTGCTTCCCACCCAGCTGCACAAAGCGACCCCCCAAAATGGTGGTGTCCCTTTCGATTGCCCTTGAAAAAGACTGACCAAAACATTGGTGGCCTTTTGGAACAATAGATGGCCCTGACCTAAACCAGTGGAACCCATCTATAGTTAATCAAACTAACCTAAAAAGGACACCTACGCACCACAAGGGCTACCCTCACACAAAGACGAGCCACGCAGACCAACACACCCCCACGGCCCCCGCCGGGTTTGCTCGCGCCGCTTCAATCGGTGAAGCTCGAGCCTTGATCTTCCGCACAAGGCTGAGCATGCGCAGCAGGCGGAAGAGGCGCAGTAGGCGAAGGACTTGGCTGTTGACCTGAAGCGCAGGGAGGCTGTGAAAGCCCCCACTTAGCGCATCTGCTTGCATTCTTCTTCTAGGTCCTCCAGTGGCGAGGTTAGAATAAGGGTAACCCTTTTTTCTGTAGTCTATTTAACCCTCCTGGAAGACCTAGTCTTGGTCAGTTGTCCATTCTTGATCCTATGTTGATGTTCCATGTGGTTTGTGTTTCTGTTCATGCTTGCATTGGCATTTCTATGTTTATACCCAGAAAGGCTCAAGAGAAATCTGGTTCAAAGACTTTCGCCAGGGTTCCAATTCCAAGAACCCCCAAGAAGCTTCCTCAAATGAATCAACCCAACGATTCGTTGACGGAAAGCCCATGAGTGAATCTGGATTCACTCTCAAAATGGGTGTCCCCCCCAAAAAAAGAAAACACAACAACACAAAAACAGCTCAGGTGATATCCACAACAGCAGCCATCCCCAGGCTTCCCCGGAATCCTTCTCGGAACCGCCACCGCTGTTACCACCGGAGAAGGTGCGATGCCCGCAAAAATGCAAGGTTACCATCCACAACATGTGAACAAATACAGCGGTCCCCTTGTTCACTTGCAATATTCGCAGGATGCCACCGTACCGGCGGTTTGCTCCCGCTTCCGAGAACTGTGCAGAAGGACCACAACATGTAGCCCATGTACCTCATTGGTTTCAAAGGAACTGGGGTTCAAACTCCCAATCCAAACCAAACAAGGGGAACCTGATAGAGATTACAAAAACAAATTATGTGTTGTTTAAAAGAACATGGTACGTGCCGAAATAGGGGACGCGCAAGAATAACCGTTTCAAGCTGAAAAGGGTACCAACCCTCAACACACCCAACACTGCTCCAACCGAATTGGCAGATCGGGCATGTTTGCAAAATGTCCCATTCTATGCTAAGCTAGTCTCGAAACCCACATAAAACAGGCGGCTTCTCAAAATGGACATCTTCGGACTGGTGTTTGAAGGGACGCCAATAGGGAGGCCACCCAAAACTTTCATGGGGGGCTGTTTTGGGGGACCTCCGCGAATACAGGGGGGTTCCCCTTTGTTCTCCTTTCAAACCCACACAAAAAGGGACCCTTCAAAAGGACTACCAGCTGTAAGTTGGCCTTGGCAAAGTGACAAGTTTTGCCAATCCTGCTTCCATGTGCTACAAAGCCCATCCGAAACCAGCTCTTCTCCTTTAAAACCCCCACCTTCCACAAAAAATTACATGAGAACCCCCCCAACCAAAAAAACAAACGTGCCCGCTCCGAAGCTCCGAAGCTCGAATGTTCGCTTCAGGCGGCCGGGAGGACCGACCCGGTCTTCGAGAAGAGCCAGAACAGGACGATGCTCAAGTCCAGCCAGTTCCAGCAGTCCGAGGCGAACCTGACGTGCCGGGTCACGGGTCTCCATCCCTTTTTTGGAGTTGATACCATAGGTGGCCTTTTGGCTAAAAATAGATGCATGTCCCTGGTAAGTGGGGCATAAAACCCATCTAAACCAGTGCAACCCATGTATTTTTAGCCAAACGGACCTAAAAAGGACACCTATGGGTTGATAACCTTTGGCATTGTCAAAAGCTAGTACCTTTTTGTGGGTTTTAACGTCTTTTTTTTAAAGTTGATACCCTTTTGCTTTTTTGGAGCTGGTATTTTTGTTGGGGGGTTGACCGAACTTTTTGGAGTTGACACCCTGTTGCGTTTTTGGGGCTGGTACCCTTTTTGAGGGTCTTAACGTTTTGTTTTGAGTTGATACCCTTGGGGTGTTAAAAACATAAAATAAAAAGTGTTTGGAGTTGCTACCCGGGCTACCCTTCCACGAACATGAGGAACACCCCAATCCCGAGGGTCGAGTTTGAGACAAGCCCAAAAATCCGTATCCGTGCCCTTTTTGGATAAGAAGAAGCCTACAAGAAACCATCGGGCCGCTTTTGAGGGGGCTTCGGGTGACCGGGGTTTCCGCAGCTGCCAAGAAGTTTCTGGTTGCTTCGGTGGCTTCGCCTACAGCGTCTGGAAGAAGGTCTATCCATCTAGGTCCTCCAGATTTGAGAGCTTGGAATATGTTGGAATCAGGGTGCCAACTTTTTCGGTTGTCTATTTTAGTAGGGGAACCCTCCCAACCAAAGAAGGGGTGAGAAAGGGCACCAATTGCTGGGGGACCTAGCCATCCACGTTTGGCTTCTTCGGGGGAAAACCCTGCATGCAACACATGTCCGCCCTGGAACCTAAAGCTCCCTGGAAGACCATGCTCCTCCTTCGTTGACCTTTTGGTCTGACTTCCCGAGTGGATTGGCCAATCTCCCAAACTTTTTGGATTCGCAACTCTCATGGTCCAAGCCCAAAAAGCGACTCAAGTCCAGCAACTCAGGAAGCGAGTGGTATATGCCTTTTGGGCAGTTGCCGACTTTTGCGCTTGGACACCTCCCATCTTTTTTGGGGGGACCCAAAATGGCTGGTGTAAAGGGAAAGGGAAGGGGACCCTTGGTGCAAAGTGCAAAGAGTACCTTTGGGTTCTCCTTTAAAACCCACCAAAGAGTACCTTCAAGAAAAGACACCCTTGTGGCACCCACGATGTAGCACGACCAATTCCTGCTCGTTTGCTCCCGAAAAAGCAAGCCAGAAAGGGAAAAACGACAACACGCTTGCTCCCCCATTCCCAACCCAACTTGTTCACCTCGCTTGAGGTTCCAGGTCCCGTTTTGGGCGATGACATCCAGGAAGTGGAGCCGACCGCGATTTTTTTTCTTCAGCGGGGCATGTTTGCCGACGCTCAGTTCATCCGCCCCGCAAAAAAGAGAGACACAAAACAAGGCGCCCTGACCCTGTGCTGGCTCCTCGTGTGAGTAACGTTGGAACCGTCCCTGAGCCACGAGGGGAAAACAAACAGGCGCCTTTTGTGTCGGACTTGTCACAAATTAGTGGACTTTTTGTTGGACTTTTCTGGTGGTGGACTTGATGCCAATTGCTGCGGGGCACCCCAGCCGCTCCAAGAGTAAGCGCGCAGCCACCTCCACAGTGAAGATGATCCTGCGAGCCATCTGCGCCGAGCTACGGTTGAACTGGGGGGCTGGGAGGGCGGCTTTCCAGAAATCGCACCCAGAGGTTCACCAGCGGTCGGGGCTACACGATTTGGGTGTATGTTTGAAGGTTTTTGCCTGAGAGAGAAACCAAAAAGATAAACCGTTTGTGGTTCAGATTCCAAATAAGACACACATTGGACTCAGTTGTCTGGGGCAGCTCTGAAAGATGGACAGTTCTCCTCCTGGAAGACTGCTTCCTTCTCGCTTTGCCTTTCTGACTGCGATGTTGCCCATTGCAGGGGAATGCCTGCCTCTGCGCAGTCGACCCCAAATCAAAGTAGAAACCCAAGCCGTGAAAAATGTTTCTCATGAGCTGGAGCCGGCGCACATCCTCCATGGTTAGGTGTAACAAACCCCAACCCCCCAAAAAAAGGAAAAGAAACAGCGATAGAGCCCACGAACCTGAACGCAATTCACTTTCTGCGAGCGCTTAGAATCCATCAGGTATTTTAGCCTTTCGTCACGCCTTGTCACATGTCTTGTCGACGGGTCTTATAGAAACGTTTAAGACCAAGGCTCTTGTCACTTTCTCTTTGGTTCGCCTAGCGTCGTGTCCCGCGTCATCGCCTCCCGTTTCTCGTCACATAACTCAGCACGTCCCTTGTCGTCCCTCCGAACGTCACGCACGTAAAAGATCGATCGCATCTTACAGCACATCTGCGGTCAAGTCACGTCTCAGAGCATGTCTCTCGTGTTTCTCGTCACGTCATGTCTCTCGCTGCATCTCGGCAGATCTCCTGCCTGCCACGTCTTTCGTCACTCGTCATAACTCTTGTCTCGCATCTGATCATGTTTCTTCTCAGTCTCTCCGCGTCTCTATAGGCATGTCTTCTGTCACGCCTCTCGTCCATTGTGACGTCTTACGCCCGCTCTATTGCCACGTTACACGTCGCGTCTCTCCTGACATCATGGCATGTCTGTCACGATCACGTCCCTTGCCGCATCTTACATCATGACCCTCGTCACGCGGCTCGCCCTGCTTCTTCGCGCCTCTATTGCCACATGTTACGTCTGTCCTCGCGTCTCTTGGCAGGCGCTTCGTCACGCCTCTTGCCACGCCCGGCGTCAGTACTCTCGCGACGTCTCGCGAGACACCGTTTGCCCACGTCGTCTCCCGACGCGTCTCTCGTCGCGTCGTCTTGCATGTCTTGCCCCATTCTCGCCCCGTCATATCTCCTGTCATAACTCTCGTCGCTTGTGTCGTGAAGTCTCGCACTACGTCTCTTGTCGCATCTCATGTCATGTCTCTTGTTCCGTATCTCAACATATCTCACGTCGCGTCTCTCGTCATGTTTCTCTGCTCGCGGCTCTTGTCACATCTCTGTTATAGCGACTCGTCACGTCTCCTGTATCATCACTCGTTGCGCATCTCCTCGCTTCGATCTGTCGTCACGCCTCTTTTTACATCTTTCGTGTCTTCAATGTTTCTCGTCACATCTTGCAACACGTTACTGTCTCTCGCCACACCTCTTCTCACATCTCGTGACATCATCGGTCACGATTCTCGTCACGTCTCGCAGCACGTTTGACGCATTACGGCGTCGCGTCCTTCCCACGCTCACCAAACTGCTACGAAATCTGCACGCCTAGCTCCAAACAGCTGCGCCTCCCAAAAAATCTGCCCGCCAAGCTCCAAAGCGCTGCGCCTGCCATGAAATTTAAACACAAAGCTCAACAAAGTGCTGCGCCTGTCACGAAAAGTTTACGACACGCAGGCAAAATCAGCAGAACTGTGACGCCAGCATGATTTCGATCGCGACTTTCCAACACACTGCGTGCCTGTGCAGCGAAACGACATGTAACGTCGCACAAGACACGTTTTCACACACACACACAGGCGCACCGAATTCAGCGACTCAAGATTATTAAACAAAAAAACAACTTTTCGCAGGAACCCCAACTGCGCGGCCACTTTTTTCCCACACACGAACGCTTGCGGCCGCTTGCGGCCGCACCGAGTCTCACCCCCCCTAGACCCCTGCACCAACCAAAAACCCCTCGCCCTTCCGCGTTCGCCACTCCGACTCCGGTCCCGAAGATCATCTCGGAGTTTTCGAAGAAGTCCCGCGCGCCGGGCCAGACCTCTTCCGCATGCTCCTCGCTCAAGCCCAGGGCCTGAGCTTAAGAATCGCGTCACTCGTACCCCCTGGCCTTTCCTTGTGACCAAACTCTTTGGAGTTTGCCACTCAAATGGTCAAAATCCCCAAGAATGACCCAGGGGAGTCCAGAAGCGGGACTGAGGTTTTTGACTTTTGGGCCTCCCTCCCAAGAGGAAAAAGGAAATATACGCCTCTGGGTCTGAAGCAAAGGCAGCCTTACTTGGAATTAGGTGAACCCCCCCCAAAATGATGGGATTCCTGTTGCTTTCCCTTTTCTCCCAAGCCCAGAGGGGGTTCCAACTCCAGAACATCCCGCAATTAAAGGATCTTTACCATGGTGAGCTCGGTTTACCAAGTGAGCTCGCGATAATTAGGGAAATGGATCTCCTTTTAGCCCCAAACAGTTTTCGAGCAGTCCATTCAATGATCAGATTTGACTGCAAAACTGGAGTCAGGGTCTGCCCAAAACCCCAAGCATCAGAATGGAATGTCCAGAGAGGTCAGGATCTCTGTAAAGGTTTCCGACCTAAAAATCAACTTTTTGAGGTGTCAAGATTCTTAGGGTACTAAGTTTCACCTACCTGAGCTGTGACTTTTGATTGTGACTCTAAAGGATTGCCAAGGATGATTCAACTTGGACAACTCCTGTTTCATAGGTCTGGACAAACCACAATTAACAAACTACCCATCTTTATTCAAAATGGCGGCTATGTAGCGCCCGCACCAAAAACCCAGCCTGGGCGAGGTTGAAGCCTTTGTACTGCGCCTCAAAGGCGAACAGCAGCGTGTTGATGATGATGAGTATGCTCATGGAGAGGTCAAACATGGGGTGCCTCCGAGCTCCGAATCGAGCCATCGAATCGTAAGTTGGGGAAAGGAACGCTGGCAAAACGGGGTCACCTTTCAGAGGTTCGGGTTTAGCTGAAAGGTGTAGCAAAAAAATCAGCCGCGCGACTTTCATGAGCTGCAAACATGGAGCCAGTGGCTCAGGGGCCCCAGTCTTTTTTTCTGGTAGGGCGTCGTGGGTCGTCACTTAGACATCCCACACCTTCTTTTTTTTTTGGGCTTCTGCAAATGGGTGCGCCAAATCAGCCCCCAACTTGGTGGTTCAAGGGGCACCCTGGAAAAAACGCCAACTACGGATGGCTCTTGAACTGCCCGGGGTCGAAATCTCGACCGGAATCGGGGGTTCGCCTGATGACCTGCAGCAGCATATCATTCACTCTGCAGCAGCACCCCTTCTTGCCGGGTTTGACCGCCACCTTCTGAGGCGGCGTGTTCTCCTGGACAATGAGTCGCTCGCAGATTTGTGAATGCTGAATGCAAAAAGGAAAGATCACCAACCGACACTAAGGGGATGTAAGGGGCCTTCGAGCAAGGAACCCTTCGCCGTTGGTTGACTTCGCAGCAAAGGTCTCAAAACTTGACATCGCCTTGAGTTATCCATTGTTTGGGTGTGAGAGAGGTTCACCAGCTGCTTTCACATTTGCTAGACGCATCGTCGGCAAATGTGCTGCTTGCATGGTTTGTTTGATGACCCACACTAAACTGAACCGTCCAGCTGGACATTTCCTTTGATACCCAAGCAGTTCATTCCCCAAACCCACAAGACACTCCAGACTGAGAACTGCAAGTTTGGGCAGGTGGGTGTCTTTCTTGAGTTGGTATCCTTTCAGGTTGGCTCAAGGGACACCGAGTCTTGCAACCACCATGTAGAAATGCCCTTATTCTGACACCTACCCAAGGCAATCGCCCCCATCTTGGCCTTCCACGAAACCAACAACTCCCCCCCCCAAAAAAAATAAGTCAACCAGGATCCACCCTTCAGGAAACTGCAATCCCATGAACTAGAAGAGCTTGCTTTGATCCAAAAAACAAAAAAACATCGCCTGAAATCAAATCAAATCACACACATTTCACTGACAAAGCTTGGAATCACAGAAAGATGATCTCCGAAAGGCGAACCTGTGTCCAAAGCTTTTCAAGTAAGCTGTTGGTGCGGTTGAGGGTTACCTCGAACAATCAAGTGTCCGCGAATTTTACTTGGGGCCCTCTGGTGGTCAATTTAGGTTGAGATTTGTATGCACAAGCACCAGGTGAAATGGGATTCCGAACATTCAATTTCGATTCGAAGTAAACTAACAGCTTCTCTTTTGGTTGGGTCCCAACCCCCCTAAAATGGTGGCTCCGCTTGGTCTCCCTTTGAAACCACTCCAAAAGGGGGTTTCCTCCACAAAAATCGCTTGAAGATATCAGGAAAAACTCGAGCTCGCTCTGGGGTGGCCAATGCGCGCTTCAAGCGACAGAAAGACCCGGTGGCGAGATCTGCTCCCCTAAAAGTGAATAACTTTTGGTGGTTTAATTCGGAACACCTCCGAAAAGTTGGATCAAGAAGTGAAAGTCCGAACAGCCCTTGGCAAAATGCGCCAAAGTAAAGACCCGGTTTTTCGCCGCGAGACCCGCACCCTCGATGCCATGGGGTGCCGGCCCCTGACAACCATACCCAATCCCGGGCTGGTTTTTTGCTCTTAAGACCTAGGGTAGTCTGTGCAAGCGAGATCGATCGAGCGAGATCGAGCCTGGTGCCGAACTGCCAGGTGGCTCTTGCCCTTCTTGGGATGCAAATGCCTCGTGGGAACCGGGTGGAGATGTGTCCCAATAGCGGCAGAACAGTGGTTGCACAGTGGATGGACGAAATCCATTTCGCACCACCTAAGCAACCGAATGATGATTCCCCTGCAAATACCAACGAAGAATGGTTTCAAGCATATAGTTTTAAAGTGGTGCGACGTTGATTTCGTCCATCCACAGTATCTCCCATTCAACCCCTGGGTAGTGGTTTGGGGTAGTGGAAATTATCCGAGAGAGTTGTGCAGTCAATGGAACTCCCCTGAAGTCGATCAATCGACTGGCGCTTTCCCTTAAAACAACCGCCACGTTTGGAGGTTCCACAAAGGGAAACGGAGGAATCCCTGTCTAGGGAGCTTCACAAATTGCGGCTGTCCTTTCTGGTTATCCTTTAAAACCGAGAGATGGGTTGGACTCGTGGAAATTGGGTCAGCTTGTGAAAACTCGCATCCCAGACATAGATCTTCTGCAACGCTTCCCACAGAAATAAGACTTGGATCCCCTTAAGGATCGTTTTGGCCTAAACATCAATGGAACTCGCGGGCATGATGTGATACCGAAATCGGCCCTTCCTGAATGTCACTTTCTGGGACTGCCTTAAAATGGGGGGAGCCCTCAACATGGAGTTTTCCTTTCACCACAGAAAGGGGATACCCAAATAAACACACACACACACACTTCTATTCGGCTTTTTTTTTGGAGGATGCCCTTGTGAATTGGCTGCCTTTTGCATGTCCTTTTTGGGAACTCATGAGCTGGATTCGCATCAAGTCCCTTGGAAAGAACAGGAGAGGACCATCAGAAGCAGAAGGACACCTTGAGACTCCTTCGCCGCTTTCCGTGTCGCTTCTTGCGATTTCGGTCCGGAAGGCTCTTTCAACCTCCCGGGAGGCGAGAGGCAGAAAGTGGCAGAGCCCCTCAGCTCAGCTCATCTGTTTGGAAGAAACCAAAGTCGTACCGGGTAGAGGAGGGCTGCAACAAAACGGGCGCGCAGGTGGTTGTGGGTATCCTATAAGACCAAACTATGTCATGGTATTCTGAGCAAGTTAGCCTCCCACCAATTATCAGGGGGGTCCTGGTTTGGACCATATTCCTGTTAAAGGGACCCCCGAACGTCAGGTTCTATGCACAAAGGGTGGGAGGGTAGTATACATCCAAGCATTCCCAAACTGGAAATCCGGGATCCCCCAGCCAGTGACTTTGTTGCCCCGACCCATGTTCACACAAAAAAGCCGACCCTTCCAGTGCCAAGAGTCGACTCCAAGGTCTGCTGAATGGTATGCATTCTCGGTGAGTGGCCGCTCTCTGGGATGGACACGCCTGAAGAAAACCGCGAAAGGCCCATGACCAGGGAAGCTACCCCTCGATGTTCTTGCTTTTTGGGAAAGTACCGGGCCATGACTCTTTAGAAACTCAACAAACAGGATTTAGACGGTGCAACGGAACTGGGAAAGTTGCTCCTACCACCTTCCAAAACAAGTCCGCGGAAAGTCCGCCGAATGGCCAAGCCTCTGGCACTTGGTTGCGGTGCATGCGGACAGCGCGGGACGCGTTTGCGACAGCTGATGCGCTTTCTTTTGGCAGCTGGTGGGTGCCTTCGCATTTGGAAGCTTGCGCAGAGCACCACCGATGGTTCGAGTTTCAACTCTACCCAGCCGCTTGGCCGCCCAACTTTCGATCCAACTTGGTCCAGGTCATTCTGCGCGCAAAGCGGACGCGCAGCTATTGCCTGGGGAGTCGGTGCTCGTGGCGCTAGAGCAGCTGTGTGACCATCCACAGCCGGGGCCAAAATGCTGTCGTTGGAACAGCCATTGGATCGCTCGGCTTCTGCTTCAAGCTTGACGGGTCGCCGCATTTGACGCACGCTGGCGTTCCGCGAGCGGAGTGCGGGCCGACGTTCCGAGCCCCGAGTCGGGGTCGGTAGGTGGATTCGTAGCTTGCAACCAGCGAAGCCTTGAAATGGCTGACCTGGAGCAGCAATGGTGCAGTGTTTGAGGGGTGTCTTCCCCATTCTTTCCAGGCATCCTTCTTTCTAGAAAACCTCCTGAAACCCAGGGAAAACGGCTGTTTCTTGAAAAGAACGATGGTTGAAAAGAAGGGACAAGGAATCAAGCCCTAGAGTGATGCTTCGTGAGCCGTGTGGAGCATCCTGCATGGTGGCCACCTGTTGGGTGTAGCTCAGCTGCGATTGAAAAGTGGGGAGTGTGAGCGGGTTGTGCCAGACACGTGCCAGACATGCTGCTCGGGGGAAAGCTGGACTAATGACAGGACTGCACCACACAGAAAAACTAAGACAACTCTTGCATGGTTGCTATATGGCAGTTGATCAATATTCCTGTTTCCGGAAAACGCCATCTTCGCGAGAAAAAAAGTTTCTTTCGCGGATCTTTCGCGACTCCATCGCCAAGCCCTTTTGTTTGCCCTTTTGTTTGCAGCGTGCGCTCTGGAGCCATTGTGGCTGCTGCAGTTATGCTTGCACACAGGATAGCCGCAGCTCACCTGCGTGCAGTACGTAGTGTTAAGTGCAAGCAGTCACCGTCATTCGCCCTTGCCACTTGCGCTTGCCGGCGATGCGCGGAACCTTGCAACAAGCTCCCTGGACTTTCGCCGGTCTTTCGCGGATCTTTCGCGAAACTTGCTCCAAAATAGCCCAGCCAACGTTATTGATTTGCGCTCTGCAAATATGTAAGTGCACAGGCATGCCTCCAAAAATCCAACGCGGAATCTTTCGCGAAAAAATAAGTTTCTTTCGCGAACTCCATCGCCGATCTTTCGCGGAGGGATTTAAGCCAAGACTCATGGTCACCGAATACATAGCTCCTTGCAAGGACCTTTTGATCAACCCCCATATCAAAATAGTAGTTGCTTGTAGTTTGACGTGTGGAATAACAACATGTCAACATCTATTCGAAAGGAGCCAGACCCTTCCAGATATAGACTGGAAACGTGCTAGACATGCGGTAGGAATATGTTGCACATGTGCAACATGCGTACTGGAACAAACAAGAAATGCACTAATTACAACTATGCTCACCACATGCTGGACAAACTTTTGGCATGCGCTTCACACGTGCAAGACACATGCCGACACTTCCTCCGGACATGGAAAACATGTGCTGGACATGCGAATGCTACAATTATGCCGCAAACGGCTCACCACATGCTAGACATACTAAATCTGCTGACACGTAGTCATTCCTTCCAAAACACGCGGAAGTAAACAAGAATCAAGCTAGACACGCTGGAACATGACAGAGCAAGTAGACATACACGAATTAAAGAAAGTGTTAGGACCGAACTAGATGCTAGTCGAATACCAAACATCTGCCATAAAAGTGCTTTCAGGTAACCATATTTTACTGGGCTGCCCTCAAACGCCCCGCTAAAAGTTTAACTTTTAGTGGGTTCAATGG